TTTATTACATGTACTTACTATTATAATAACAATTAATTATGCATAATTACATGCAAGTAACCCTAAGCCAAACCCTAATCCTAACCCTAAACATATAGTAAGAACATTAATTAATATTAGTCAGTATGTATAATTACAGTGTAACAAGGACACCTTAAAATAAAGTGTAAACCTATATATATGTAATTATAATTATAATAAACATATATAAAACATTAATTATAGTTAATTAAAATGTTTTAATGATTAAACAAATTCTTTAAATGATTAATTTAAAGAATTTCTACAAAAAAAAAATTCTCATTCATGAACATGATGATGACATGTCATGATGAAGTGTAAAATTATTAAGCATACTGACACTATAAACATCTTAACATTTTGGGCTATTTTGCTTCCATAATCTGTCTTCTTTCAGATTTTTGGAAAATACACATTTTAGTGTTTATTTTATTTATAGTTTATCTATTTGCATCTGTAGATTTCAATTGAAATAGACAAAAGGCTTTTTTTCTCAAAATGATTTTTTTCCCCCTCCTGAGCCGAGCCAGAAATCTCCACTTCAGTCACACTTACATACACCAGTTTTATTCCTATTTATATTGTGAAAGTTTTTACAGAGGAGTTTGCTCATATATCATTCACTTGATACAAATAGATATCCAAAAAAATAGGCTAGCTCTGAAATGTCAACAAAATTAAACAATTTTGAACCTGGCTTTATGCAATGTTCAGATTTCAGTTCTGGAAATGTATGCAAATGAGTGCATATTTAATGAGATAATGCATCATTTGCATATTTAAGCATACCATAAAAAACTCTTAATGTACTTTTAATAATCAACTGGGGAAGTACTTTTATATTTATTAGTTACAGCCTTTACGCTATTCACCTGTGATGTCTTGCCTTAATGGGAAACCTTTATTTGTAATGATGACAATTTGATGCTTGGATTTCTTATACCTGTTGTGCCACAGCGGCGGCCAGGTTTCCTCCTGCGCTGTCACCTGACACAGCCACTCTTTTCGGGTCTATGGAGTACCGACCCAACACCTCGGCTGTCAGGATGTGTTTTGAGGCCTGAAAAACATCATTATACTGATCTGGAAAACGTGCATCTGGTGCCAGCCTGTACCTGAACATACAATTCAAGCAAGATATACAAAAGAAATCAGGTAATTAGCTCCTTTAATAATACAAACCTACACAAGACCCAGGAAATTGCTTACTCGACAGATATTACGACTGCATTCAGCTCCTCAGCCATAGTCATGCACTGAAGGAAATATGGTTCCATCTCTATAAAAAACAGAGAGAGCAATTGAAGAGGTTAAACCATAGATAATATCACTTAAAAGTGTCACGAAAAGGTTCAATAATATCTGAGAAGTGTTTCCTTTCTCGACCACGTGAGGGCGCATCGAGACTGCTGAGCAAATCTATTTCTCTCGACCAATGTCTACAACTTAATGCATTAAACAAAATCCTTCATTTGCATGAAATCATATGCAGTTGAATATATAAAAAATAACCTATCATGTACTTGTACTGCCGAGTGTCCATCCTCCTCCATGGAAATAGACCACGCCTCTTTTAAGACTCTGCTCCTGCCCTGCAGCAGCTGACTCAAACACTAGTGCTTCCACTCCTCCAAAAGACGCTTCTGTGACTCGGACGCTTGAGCTGGACTCGATACTTTTTGCATCCGCCCAAGCCGAATAGTATTTTGCCAACCCAAACGGTGAAGTCAGTCCAAGATCATGAGCTAAAAAACTCTGAGAGAAAAACAAATAAGTTGTGTTTCTGTCAGCAGATCTCTTACTCCATAAATCGTGATACTTCAGTGGAATTCTATATGCTAACGTAATAGCATTTATATATAAGTATTTTAATACAAAAAATCTTACCAACTTCATCATGCCACGTATCAATGCATCCGAAAACATGAGTTTCCATGGCTCTGATATAGTGCTAGGCAGAGGCAGATAAATATAATAAGCGGCTGCTATTGAGAGTAAAACCGTCCCGATCAAAATGGGCCGCATTATTAATTATGTTAAAGGAGCATTAAAATGAACCCAAACGTCAGTGTTCATAGAGTGACTGCATGTATGACACTTCACCTGATTTCATTTCACATCGTTACATTGAATTTATGAAATCACAGCAGTTATTTCATGTTAAAAGTCCTTTGGTCCGCAGTTTACCTTTGACTGCAGTTTTTATTAGTGATTTTATCTGTCAATGGCTTTACATGTATTGCCTCCACTTTTCTGAGATGAGTTAAGTGCACATAACTACTAGTAAAGGATTTTAATGATGTTAAATAACACAAAAACGTAACATTTAAATTGTAATCTTTAATAAACGACACGGTAATGTTAAAAGTTGTACTATTTTTTTCCTCTACTGGATTCGGCATAGAGACAGTGACTTTTTGGTCTTCATACTCTGTTGGTTGCATGTGTATCTGCACATCGAATATATGTCAGATATATGTTTGCACGATCAACTATGAATGAATATACAGTATTTATGTTTTCATTATTAATTTCAGTCACGCTATTTTACACTTCTAAAAAATGAACAAGTAGACAAGACTTCTGATTCGTCTCTTCATTTTCATGATTGATGATTTTGGAATATCATGCATATATAATATAACAACAAATATTACATTTAACGCATTTTACATCCATGTTGATGATACAGTGGAATTTGATGGAAGTGTGTAAATATGAAATGTACTGACAGCATAAACAGTCCCAAACAAAGGTACAGTATGGCCTGAGGATGTGGAACTGAACTCATTTTGTGCACAAAGCACATTATTTTTTATGGTAAACCTGTTTCAAATACACACTTGTATGTTGAATAAATTGTATGATTATTAAAATTCATTTATATTACATTTACATTTACTTGCCCATATGCTGTTTCACAGATTCTGCTCTGAAAATCAGAGGTACAGTAATGGTGTATTTCCCAAGGAAATAAATGCATGCATTCAGAATGTATCACTCAGTAAGAAATGAGTCTACTCCTTGAGGCCTGGTGATGCGCATCTGTGCAGATGTCATGCCTAGATGCAGCTGCACAAAACTAGGGCAGAGAGCACAACTGCATGCTAGTATGTGCGCGCATAAATAAAAATGTATACCGCTGCATGTCTTGAGTGTGAAAGACATGAACTGTCTTGTCTTCCCATCTGCTCATTAACTGAGAAATATGAGAACTACTGCGTCGTGAAAACTAGTGTCTTGTTTTACTTGTTTTTTACTTGTTTCATTTTTTTTGTATTGGCTTGCT